TAATGCCTAGAATATGGATGGAGGGTAAGGAGAAAGGAACTAGATAGAGCATTATCTTCCTTTTCTGTTTCACCACCACCACTGAAGTTACTGCTGAAAACCTGAAATTGTCATGCATGCTCTCTACATTGGTAAACATCATTGATCTCAAGTTACTACTGCTATTACTAGATAGCAGTGTTAGGTTGAAATGGAAGATCTCATGTGTGACCTCCAAGTCTATTGTTTGAGCAACTTCACCATTTGCTCAGTCAAAAAGCTTCTATTACATAAATGTTTACTATATGTCACAAACTATACTAGACACTGGAGATGCAAAAGTAAATAATGGAGGCATGGTTCCTGACCCATGTCCATAGAGAATACAGATGCAGGCAGTTTGAGTAGAATGCTATGTGCTATGACACAGGAAAGTACAAAGTACTTATCTGTGAGGATCACATTTCTCAAAGTTGAGGTGATTAGAGATGACTTTCTAGGAGAAGTTTTATTTCTAGGAGAAGCTTGATTCTGAAGAATTAGTAGGAGCTAGCTAAATAAAGGTTAGGCCCTTAGGGGGTAGAAATGCTGTGAGATTTGGAAAGGTCATCATGGGCTAGATCATTCCATATGTCCTAAACTATGTTGTTTAAACTTGATCCTTTGGGAGAAATGAATAGCCATCAAAGTACTTTCATTTGAGAGAGAGAAAGACATCTGTTTTGTTCTTCCACTTAGTTGTACATTCATTAGTAGTTTCCTATATGTGCCCTGACTTGGGATCAAACCCACAACCTTGGTGTAAGAATAGAGCCACAGAAATTTGTTATTGAAGTATAATTGAAATACAACAAACTGCAGATATTTAAAGTATACAGTTTAAGTTTTGACATGTACACACCTGTGAACCATCACCACTATCAAGAGAATGAACAACAGCCCTGACCGGTTTGGCTCAGTGGATAGAGCATCGGCCTGTGGACTGAAGGGTCCTGGGTTCGATTCCAGTCAAGGGCATGTACCTTGGTTGCGGGCACATCCTCAGTGGGGGATGTGCAGGAGGCAGCTGGTTGATGTTTCTCTCTCATCGATGTTCCTAACTCTCTATCCCTCTCCCTTCCTCTCTGTAAAAAATCAATAAAATAAAAAAAAGAGAATGAACAACATATCCATCACTTGAGGGTACCCTTTCATAGTCCCTCTCAGATCTGCTTTCTGTCACTATAAATTAGTTTGAATAGTTTATAATTTTATGCCAATGCCACACTTTCTTGATTACTGCAGTTTTTAATAATTTTTGAGATCAGTTTGTGTTGGCCCTCCAACTTGTTTTTTGTTTTGTTTTCAAAGTTGTTTTGGCTATTCTCCATTGTTTTTGTTTCCATATGAAATGTAGGGTCAGTTTGTTAATGTCTTAAAAAATACCTGCTAGGGCTTTGATTGGTATTGCATTGAATCTACACATCAATTTGAGGAGAATTGACATCTTCACAATATTGAGACTTCTAACCCACAAACATGGTACGTTTCTCTGTTTATTTAGATCCTCTCTAATTTTTCTCAACAATGTTTAGTAGTTTTCAGTGTATAGGTATTTCACATTTTTGTTAGATTTATTAAATTGTCTTATATTTTTGAATGAGGTTATAAATACTGTTTTTAGCTTGGATTTGCAATTATTCGTTGCTAGTATAAAATGCAATTGATTTTGTATATTAATCTTTTGTTCTACAACATTACCAAAATTACTTATTCTAGTAGCTTTTTGGTAGATTCCTTTGGATTTTCTGCATAGACGATCATGTCATTTGCATAGACAGTTTTACTTCCTTTTCAAAACGGATGCCCCCCCCCCCCTTTTTTCTTGCCTAATTGCACTGGCTAGAATCTCCAGTACAACATTGACTAAAGTGGTAACTTGTTCCTGATTTTTAGAGGAAAAACATTCGATTCTTTACCAGTTAAGTATAATGTTAGTTGTAGTTTTTATGTAGAAAACCCTTATTAGGCCAAGGAAATTTCCCTCTTTTACTTCTTTGCTGAGTTTCTAGCAGCAATAGATGTTGGATTTTGTCAGATGCCTTTTCGTCTACTGAGATGATCATATGGGTTGTTTTGGTTCTTTTTACTTTGTTCAAATGGTGGATTATATTGGTTGACTTTTCATATATTTAACCAACCTGTATTCCTGGGATAAATCTGAGTTGGTCATGGCATATTATCCTTTTTATATAGTTTTGGATTGTTTGCTAAAATTTTATTCAGAATTTGTGTTCATGAAAGATATTAGCCTGTGGTGGCCTTTTCTTATAACATCTCTGTCCTATTTTGGAATCCAAGTGATGCTAATCTCATGGAATGAGTTGGATGCTTCCCATTTTCTGGAATAATGTGTAGAATTGTTATTATCCTTTTTTTCTTGTCCATCTGGGGCTTGGAAGTTTCTTTGCATCTTCACTTTTTTTTTTTATTAATTATTTTAAAATTAAACTTACTGGGCCGACAATTGGTTAACAGGTTCATACAGGTTTCAAGTGTACATTTCCGTGATACATGATCTGTATATTGCATTGTGGCCCACCACTCATTCTGGCTAGAGATTTATCAAGTGTCTTGATCTCTAAGAATTAGCTTTTATTTCTGTTTTCCATTTCATTGGTTCCTGCTCTGATTTTTATTCGTTCCTTCTGCTTACTTTGGATTCAGTTGTTTTTAAATAGACTATCTTTTAGAGCATTTTTGGTTCACAGCAATATGGAGCAGAAGCTGCAGAGATTTCCATATACCTTTCCCCCCTACTTTCTGAAAGTGAAATGTACAAAGATCATTTATTTGAGACCTTTCTCCTTTTCCAATACAGGCATTTAATACTATAGATTTTTCCATAAGTACTGCTTTTGCTAAGGCCCTGCTGAAGAGGATCTTTTCTTTTCAGTCAGTAACTTAAAGCAGTCATTTTTTTTTGTCTGCTAAAATAAGAATTATAAAGTCAGTGTCTGCAGGGATAAAGGATAAAGTTTAAACACAACAGCTCCTTTTTGTATGCATTTTGCATGCTTGTACTAAGTAGGGAAGGAATCTGTCAGATTTTCACAAAGTTATCCTATAGATTGCACACTGCAAGAACTGCATTTCTTCGCTTTGATTCACTGAAAAGACCTATCCAGCTAATATCAGTAATGGAAAGGAAGTGTTAATAATGAAAAATAATGAAAATTAAACTACTTCTGTCTGTGAATCATTTAAGCAACATCTAGCTTTAGAGTCTCACATTTCTGCAGTTGTGAATAAAGACTAAGGTGGTACATCAAATTGCTGTTACTATTTAAATTTGTTTCTAAATATAAAGTATTATTACATTGAATAATTTCTTTGTTTATATTTCCCCTGTGAGGTAGAAACAAGTTTGGATAGTCTTTTAAAACCAGTATAAGTCAACATCAGGGACCCACAGAAAGCAGTTAATCTTTTACGTTTTACCCTGTGTCAGGTACTGTGTTACATACTTTGCATGAATTATCTCCTTTAATGATGCACTAAAACCCTGTGAGATATAAGTATTTTCATTCCCATTTTACAGATAAGGAAACAGATTTAGAAAATAGTTTGAGGTCCCACAACTAAGTGGTAGAGTTGGAGTTAACTGGGAGTAATCCAGTCTCCAGTGATCTTAAGCATGTAATAGACTGTGTCCATATAGAGTATGTTTGAAAGAAAAGCTCATAATAACTATAAAATGAGTTCTGAATATCTCAGTTGAGGATATGGCTTGATGAGTTGACTAAACCAAACTAGATGAATAATACTGTAGTTAAGAAAATAAATTCTTTCAGACATTTTGCTACTCTGTAAAGTCTGAATTTTCCTTAAGATAAAAAGAGGCCCAGCCAGTATGGCCCAGTTGGTGGAGCATTGTCCGATGCACCAGGAGGTCACCAGTTCGGTGCCCTGTCAGGGCCTATGCCCAGGTTTTGGGCTCAATTCCCAGTAGGGGATGTGGAGGAAGCAGCTGATCGATGTTTCTCTCCTCCCTTCCTCTCTCTAAAATCAGTAAAAACATATTTTTAAAAGGGGAGGAGGGCGAATACTGAATTGGAGGCAATGTGGTAGTTTTTGGGGTTTAGATCACTATTACTAACTGAGCCACATTAAAAAGTTATTTAACCTCTTTCAGCTTTAGACTTTTCATACGTTAAGTGGAGATTTTCTCCTTTTAGAATTATTTAAAAATTAGAGATAATGCATGTAGCACAGTGCCAAACCTGTAGGAGCTGGCAGAGAAGGTAATTATATTTATTATTGTTAGAATCTCTGTTAATCCTCAATGAATGAAAACTATTTTTGAGGCCTTAACTTCATCTTCTGATACTACCTACCTCCTGTCCATCACCAAGATCGTCATATTCCTTCTGAAAAGTATTCATGTAGCACTGAGTTCCTTTCCTTCATAGCAGTTATATTTTGAAATACATTTAAACGTGATTACACTAGATGGTAAGCTCTGTGCAATCAGAAGCCACGTCTGATTTCGCTCACCATTGTCTCCTGTGTACAGTGCTTACCATACAGTAGGACTTGAGTAAATGTTGAATGAGTGAATGAAATGAATTCTTAATAGCTAATACTGATTACCTTGTGATAATGGCCGATGCCATCAAAGTAGTGATGCTTTTTCTTTGAAGAATTAAAATACATGTCATGTGATATGTGTAAAAAAGTCAGTATTTGAACTCATCAGTTTCATGTGGCCACCTCTTGACGTTATGCTGATTGAATTTCTTAGAAATGGAGCACTGTATATTCATTACATTTAGCATTATTGCTTGTTTTTAGCTTGACTAATCATGGTTTGAATTACTATCAAACTGTGCAGAATTTCAAGTTTTTGGTTACTTCACTTTGCAAGAAATGCAAATATTTCATGAAATTCTTAGAGCTTTATGAAAGTAAAAATATCAAGCACCTTCCCTCCTTCAATCTACCGTCCACATAAATACTGTTTCCTTTGGCTTCTTTTAAAGGGAGAAGATGTCAACCGGACTCTAGAAGGTGGAAGGAAGCCTCTTCATTATGCGGCAGATTGTGGGCAGCTTGAAATCCTGGAGTTTCTGCTGCTGAAAGGAGCAGATATTAATGTATGTGAGGAACATTGTCATTCTAGAAAAAATTCTTGTTGTATGCTTTGGGTAATTATTTTATGTAGATGTATAAAATAGTTCTTGTGGAAACCTCATTTTAAATAATACAGTCTGAAATTATATCATAATTTCTGTAACTTAGAAATGTATAGTTTGGATTTTAAACAATAAGCAAAGAAAACGACTTTCAAGCTGAGGATCCGGATGTTTCCCTTTGGCTGCTGCCTTCAAGTTCTAATGCAACTTGAGAGTTGCACCACCTGTAGGTAGCAAATGCTATCTGCCAGTGGACCATAGGACCCTGCAGTCATGGTAAATACAGTGGGGCCTTGACTTACGAGTTTAATTCGTTCCGTGACCGAGCTCGTAACTCAAATTACTCGTATGTCAAATCAAAAAGTGAACGAGTGAGACACGTGATGCTGGGCTGATGTTGTGGCGTTCACTGTGACATTCGCTTCGCCAACTAGCGGTGGGGTATCTGAAGCTGGCTCGTAACCCGAATTTTAGCTCGCAACTCAAAGCAAAAAATCGGCCAAGACGGCTCGTATCTCGAAAAACTCATTAGTCAGGACACTCGTAAGTCAAGGCCCCACTGTATAGTGCATTTTTTGACAGAGGTCAGTAAACAAGTGGTCAGACAGAAGCAGCCATCTCCCGACTCTTTCCTTCTGTGGCTTCTGCATTTCAGAGTTTTAGAAAAATGTTTAAGTAACTGTGACAGCAAGTGAGATGAACTTCTCACATTTCAGGGGACACTAAGTCACTTGGCTGAGCTGTGGCAATCTTTTCATTGGCTATGTTCTTCCCTTCACCTCAATGGCATTTCTATATTAGTGGGGAGTAAGGCTCAGAGAGATTATACCTAGTCACACAGTAAGTGGCAGAGCCAAGGTTTGAGCTGGGGTCAAAGCCCCTGCTCCCTCCACTTCACTTTGCAGACTCCCAAAGAGAAACCTTGCTTGGGCCTCTAGAGCAGCGGTCGCCAAACTTTCGGACCTCACGGATCACCAGTGGTTCTCGGACTACCGGTTGGCAACTGCTGCTCTAGAGGGCAGCTCTCCAGAGGCTAGAAATGTGTACCTATACAGTGATTTTGGATAGAAAGGCAAATAGGTAAACATTGACTTTAAAATATTCACAAGTGTTTCCTAATTCCATCTAGAAAGAAGAAATGAAAAATGGATAAGGTGGTTTTATCTCTTTATTTAATATTTCACAGGCTCCAGATAAACATCATATTACTCCCCTTCTGTCTGCTGTCTATGAAGGTCACGTTTCCTGTGTGAAATTGCTTCTGTCGAAGGTGAGGTCAATTGTTACTTTTTATTGCCTTTCCACTTCTGCGTGACTGTTTCAGCTAAGTATTTGGTTAATTTATTTGTTTGGCCTCAGGGACAGAAAACTAGTAATATCTAAAATTGAGGTCTAGAATTTTATAGCCCAAAATAACTGGTCCACAAACTGTTACTAGTTGGTAATAGGTAAGAACCTTGGGCTACAATATAAAACAACACAGTCTCCATAATCAAGAATAGTTGTTGAATAGTTGCTGTGACCAGCTCTGGCATGGTAGCTCTGTTAAAGCATCATCCCGATGTGCCAAAGTTGGGACATATAAGAATCAATCAATGAATGCATGAACAAGTAGAACAGAAAATCGATGTCTCTCTCTAAAATCAAATAGTTTGCTGGGGGAAAAAAAGTTAAATGTTGTGGACTAGTAACTGTTTACAGATCACACCTTGAGTGGCTCTGGTTTAAAATTTGTAAACTTCTTTTTCTGTAGTACGTACTGAGAAGAATACATACTGGGAAGAGTATTAGAGGCAGTTTGCTCTAAAGCAGTGGTTCTCAACCTTCCTAATGCCGCGACCCTTTAATACAGTTCTTCATGTTGTGGTGACCCCCAACCATAAAATTATTTTTGTTGCTACTTCATAACTGTAATTTTGCTACTGTTATGAATTAGATGCTCTCCAAGTCATCTGGTTTCTTGATGTTACTTAGATCATGGTAAATCTGGAGTTTTCCAGTGTTTTGTCTTTGTTATTATAAATTCTTAGATGGAGCTCCAAACCCAGCCTCAGGAATTAATGCACCAGTTGCAACCATTTAGCTGTATTAGGACCTGCAAATATTGGGAGACAAATCTTAATAAAATAAGGCACCAGTATTAATCGCAAGCTTATTTTATGGCTATACTCTAGAAAGTGTTATTTATAACATTTCATTTGGTATTTTAAAATAAAGCCCTGCTGAAAGAAATAGAAATCAAATGAGTAAAAGCATTTTGTCACCATACCCGGTACATTCGTGTTTAATAAATAAGCTTTTATTATAACTAAGACTGAAGAGGATTTTATGCTTCAGTAAAATTGGGAAAGAAGGTAGCACATTTGTCTCGTAATACTTTGAGAACTTTTAAAGATTCTGAAATTAGTTAATTCAGGTCCTTGAAAACTCAGGGTTTTTACCCATAGCTTCATGTTAAACACAGTTACTGGATTTGTTTAAATGTGTAGTGGTTGTTTTATGAGTTTTGGGGGAATTTTGGTAAATATCAACAGTAATTTTTAGCTACTACACACATACTAATTCTCTTAAAGCCAAATGGAAATAATATTTCTTGCCACTAATAGATTCAGTATCTGTGGTAGGATATGCTCACAAAGATTTCCAGTCACTGTCTTTCTCCTTACTGTCTATTCCTTCCCCCATATTCATGAAAAGATTAAAAAGTACCTTTGTAAACTCCTAGATAATTTCATCCCTAGGGGATTATTTTTGCTTACCGTTGTCACAGGCTACAAATATTGATGTACAATTTATGAAAGATTTATATAATTTCCCATATATTATATTAGTTAGGACTCTTTGTATTGCAAGTTACTAACCCCAGCTCAGATAGGCTTAAGGAGATCTTGTTGATGCATATAATTCTACAGTTGAGGCACTGCCTGACCCTGTGCTTAAGCCATGAGACCAGGATCTGATTTCTTTTTTTTTTACCTGTAAGCTCACTTCCTCAAAATGGGCTTTATTACCCTGGCCTCAACTTACCTGCTAAGTGTATAGTAAAAGAAACAGTTAACAAGACTGTTGTATATTTGAAAGTTTTAGTTGCTAAGAGGGTAAATCTTAAAAGTTGCCATCACACACAAAATTTGTAAAGATGAGAAGTAATGGATGTGAAGTAACTAAACTTACTCTCATAATCATTTCACAATATGTACAAATATAAAATTAAACTAATATAGTTGTTACATGTCTTTTATCTCAGTTAAAAATAAATAAATTCATAAGTCAGAATAAAAACAAAAAGAAATTACCTCTTTCCATGATGTTTTTCTACCCTGTCAAGGGTGAAATTGTCTGAAAATAAAAACCTCCGTGGGATCATTTTTAGCTTAGGTCCTTAGGCTCTGGTCATTTACTAAATGAGATGCCTCTAAACATGCTCAAACTATTTCTGATATGCCTCTCCTTCCTGTGGGCCAAACAAAATAAGACGTAATTATTCTTATGCTAGAGAGGACCCAAACCATTCATTGTTCTCTATCCCTTATTGCCAAAATATGTTCTAAGTCATTGTTAAAAGGAAAGCTTGATTTGTATGAAGGCAATATGTTATCCCAGAAGGATCACTATAAATATGTACTCCGTTGCTAAATTATTGGTAGTAAGTTGAGGTGTCTGACTTTTAACTAGCTTATATTTTTTTCTTTTACTTGGTGCCGGCAATTTTGTTCTTTAGCGTGTGTTTGATCCTTGATTTTTGTAGCTAAGTCAGGGACATTCAAAGATGGCTCTATTGATAGATCAAGTTTAATCTTGTAGAGCTGTTTTTTGTTTTAGATGACATTTTTTAACCTTTATAAAAGCAGCCTAATAAAACTTAGTTCTGCTTTTTCAAAATTTATTACTTTCATTTTATTATTGCATAAGCTTCTTTAATGGATTCCCTATAGTTTTGTTAACCAATATATTTTTTTTAAAAATTGATTGTACTCTAAAAAATCCATAGTTGCTAAAATGAAGCTGTTTCAGTGTCAACATTAAAATCAATGTTTATATTATAAAATCTAGTTTATTCTTTTTATCAAAAATAGAATACTTGTGTATTATAAATTCATTTAAAAAGTATTTAGTTTAAGAAGTTTACCAGATTCACTGATATTCTTAGTATATTATTCAGGTGGTATGTGAGTAGCATAGGGGGAAAAAAAGCCAAAACAATAAACAGAAATTTAAGAACTCAGTATGATTACAACTAGTGGGGGGCGGGGAGAGAAATCACAAAAACAAAAAGAAGATTGGTAGAATATTTGAAATTAAACTATGTAATATTTACTGGGCTATTTTTAAAATTTAATGCAGCGGAAAATGGAATTTATGACACAAGAATGTAAAACTTTTAATTCTTGATTATCCATATAGCAAAAGAAGAAACTAACATCTATGTAATATTTTTTAAGCACTTCGTGTATATAATCTCCTTTAATTTTTATCAATCCAAATACATAGGTATATTCATCTCCATTTTATGGATAAGGAAACTATTTTTCTCAGGGAGGTTAATTACTGTCAGAAACAGTTATGAGAAGTTGAACATGTGTAATTTGGGCTGATTTTTAATTGGTGAGCTAGTAATGTAGAGAACAACATATGTGGGACTTCCACTTCAAGGTGTGAGCACATGCCAGTGTATCCTTTCCCTCCCAACCACAGAAAAGATGTTTTTAAAATGAATGAATCAATATTTGGTTTGAACCATAAGAAGGGGTTCTAGATAAGAAATTATAATGAATCCTTGAGAAACAGAAAGCAGGCGGGATAGGGTTATAGAAAGCATTTCCTAACATGAGCAAGAGGATATTTATTACAAAAGGTAGAATCTGATCCAAGGCTGCTCCAAATCCAATAGTGGTTAGTGCCCCTGACCAACAAACAAGTGAAGGAGCTAGTTGCACTTCAGGCAGAAACAAAATAAACCCAGAGGGAAAGGTGAGACGCAAGAAGGATCATAGGCAAATTAAGTCTAAACAAATATCAAAATGCAAAACACTAAAGTTTTTTTAAATAAGCTAAAATTACAGAATTGTTAAATAATGTATAAGATGGAAGCAGGATGATCAAAGTTCCTGGTACTTTCACCAAATCCAGAGTACGTGAAACACATTAATAAAACTAGTGAGAAGAGAAAAGGGAAAGGAGACAGATGAAACAAGTAAAAATACAGGCTCAAGAAGCATCCTGGGAAAGTTAGCAGTAGCAGAGGAGGAAGAAACCCAAGTTGGAGTATGAAACAGACAGAGAAGTGACAACGGAACAGCATAGCAGTCAGTAAAAAGGCCAAGCAGCTTGTAAGTAGAGTGTAAGAACATGTCATTTTGAATTATAAGCTCAATAAGCTTCCTTTTTTCCACCCTAGAAAATCTTAACTGGGAAGTTTTTGCAGTAAAAGGAAAACTTAAAAGGCGGTATAAAATACTCTGTAGTTCAGAAGTTGCAGACTTTTTTTTAGAGCGTTAGGCTCAATCTTGCAACCATATGGTTTCTGTCATAATTTTGCCACTGTAGCTCTAAAGCTGCCATAGACAATACAGAAATGAATGGGCTTGGCTGCATTCCAGTAAAACTTTACTTACAAAAACAAACATCTGGGCCATAGCTTGCTGACCCCTCTTCTAGCTCACAGTTACTTTGCATTTCACAACTTTAACCCTCAGTGGTAAAAATGTGTATCGTTCTGGATGCTTTTACTAGACTATGCTAGTGCATATTTGTTGAAAATTTTTATTATCAATTAATGTAGTCAAACAAGATATGGAATTTTCATTGTTAATTATTGAACTGGTCTTGGTTAAAACCTCAGATACCTGAGTAATAGAAGGTTTGCATGATTACATTATTTCAAAGAAAGTTAATCATAAAATGCTACTCTTTAACTATGATATTAGCCAGTGGACTTTTATAAGTCCAAAATTCATTTTATTTTTCACAGCTACATATATCATTTGATATCATAATCTAGTTTCCATGGTTAAAGAGATCATTCCTAAGAGAAATAATAGTAGTCCCTGTAGCATTTAATATATTACCATGTTAGGCATTTCCTGTAGTATTAATATATATCAAAATTTCTATAATACTAAAATTCCTTATAAATTATGTAATGCCTTGTAATTTATATAATGGGTAATAAAGGATTTTAAGAAGTCAAGTATCCTTGTTCCCTAAGGGGGAAAACCATTTCTAAATAATTCATTGCAGCATATTGTGGGGAAAGGAGAAATATTTAAA